TTCTCAACCTTGCCAACTTTAAGGCGGGCGGACTTCTGTTCTGCGCATCTGTTCTTGTGATCACAATCATAAACACGTTTACACACAGGAGGAAGCCCAAGGGTGCTTGATGGAGCTTCGCTCTCCACCCTGACTTTAACCTAGGCCAGGGGTAGGCCACCTTGGCTCTTTTATGACTCCTGGACTTCAACTCCCAGAATTCCTGAGCCAGCCATGCTGAGGGGAAAGGGAGAGGTTTCCAAGCTGAGCCAGGCTGGCTCAGGAATTCTGGGAGTTGAAGTCCACCAGTCATGAAGGGGCCATAGTTCCCCCATGCTGGCTCAGGAATTCTGGGAGTTTGGTCCACGAGTCATGAAGGGGCCAAAGTTTCCTCCAGGCTGGCTGAGGAATTCTGGGAGTTGAAGTCCACCAGTCATGAAGGGGCCAAGGTTGCCTACCCCTGACCTAGTTTAACGTGATGCAGATAAGTAGGAAATGGCCTGGATGAAGACATGGTGGGTTCTTCTGCATCATCATGGTTTTTCATCATGGTGGGTGGGAGGCTTCCGGGAGGCTAAAGCTTGGCATTTTTTTTGGGGGGGGGGAGACAGAAAATTGGAGTGTTATGGTTTTTCTGGGTTTTGGCACAGGATGGCTGTCATGGGGAAAGGGTCTGATTTTAAAGGAACAAAGAGACAAGAAAGCCAGTATCACCCCTTCCCTGCCAGCTGCTAAATCCGGAGGGAGAGAGGGAGGGAGGGAAAGAAGGAAGGAAGGAAGGAAGGAGGGAGGGAGGAAGGAAGGAAGAAAGGAAGGAGGGTGGGAGGAAGGGAGGCAGGGAGGCAGGGAGGGAGGAAGGGAGAGAGGGAGGAGAGAAGGAAGGAAGGCAGGTGGGTGGGTGGGAGGAAGGAAGGGAGGGAGCAAGGAGGGAAGGAGGGAGGAGGAAGGGAGGAAGGAAGGAAGGAAGGAAGGAAGGAAGGAAGGAAGGAAGGAAGGAAGGAAGGAAGGAAGGAAGGAAGGAAGGAAGGAAGGAAGACACACACTCTGGGACACAAACAACATTGGCCAATCTTCCTTGAGTCCAGAAAGCAGGGAGCAGAAGGCCCAAGAATCAACAAGCTGAGTAGCCTCAGCACAGGGTGGGGGCACCCACAAGGCCATCTATCCCAGCCCCGTAAGTAAACATATCGGCTGGAAGTGGGTCTTGCATGATGAGGTCGCTCGCCTCCTGCGTCCCCACAGAGAGAGGTGCCCTCAAGGTCGCCAGGCAGCCTTGCACTCACCTCCATCTCTCATCGGGGTCCAGGTGCGACAGGTCAACCTGCAGAGAACAAGAGAGAGCGGCTGAAGCCAAGAGAGGCCCCGGGGCCGGAGGGAGAAGGCCCCGCGGTCTCAAGCGGAGGGGGTCTCCAAACCCCCTTTGCCTCCTCCAGCATCCAGAAACGGAGAAGTGCCACGACCAACCAGGATTATATTCACAGACTCAGATATGCCAGGAGCCGCCATGGGGAGGGGGCTTAATGGGGGTGCTGTGGATCTTAGGATAGCTGTGAACGCGCCCCCCTCCCTTGCTCACCTGCAAGGCGGCCATCGCAGCCCCTCAGGACATGCCTTGGCTCATCCTCTGAGTGAAGCGCTGAGCAATCTTCAAATCCCTCCGAGAACTTCCCGAGGGCAGACATTCCACCCGCATTGTGACGTGACAGCACGTCAAGCGCAGGGCAGGTCAGAAGACGGAAGACGCTAAGCCCCACTCCCGAGACCCTGGTCAGGCACTTCTCTCTCTCTGTCCTCCGAAGAAGACTGGTCAGCGTGTCACTCAAAGGCCAACGATGCTTGCCGGCTGTCCCACAGGTAGCTGAGGGCAGTTTACAACTATCCTAACACACACGGAGCAGATGGCCACCAGGCAGATGTGCAGGATCACGGACAGAATGACCTTGCACGTTTCTTAATATTGTGAAAGGCCAGCGGTTAACCTCTGGAATAAATGGACTCCTTTTTAACACAACAACACCTTTTGGGAAACCTGTTAGGGCAGCCCCCAGGTGTCTCTGCTGCTCTCTCTACCTTGAAGATTACGGGAGCAAAAGGCTCGGATCTGCCAGGGCTTCCTCCCCACTCCCCAATTTGTGACGGCTAACAATTGCATAAGAAAGGCCGAGCACCAAAGGATGGAGGCCTTTGAACTCTGGTGCTGGAGAAGACTCCTGCGAGTCCCCTGGACTGCAAG